TGTGGTGCTGCGCCAGCAGCCTGTGCAGCTGGCACTTGAGTCAGACAATGAGGAGGCTGGAGAAGATGTGGTGCCAGAGGCGGGGATTCAGCCAGGGCCTTCAGAACCTCCAGAAGCTCCTATAAGTGAAGAGGAAGAAGAGGAGGAGCCTCTTCTCGATGCACAGGCGTTCAGAGCTGCCAAAAGGCAGGAGTGATTCCTCAGGAGGAGGTCTCCTCGAGAGTATGGCTTGGGGCTAATTGGCCACTCCTTTAACCTATTTAAGGAAGGACGACGACTGAGGTAATTTGCAGGGAACAACTTCGTTCACTCCCCTTTGTGTCCTGATCTTAGTTCTCTTATCAGTGTCCTGCAAATTGCTTCTAGGCTTTCTGCCAATCATAGTAAGATTACGATTATTTATTCTTTGGATTCTTGTAGGCTGTTAAGAAAGTTAATTAACAGCCTTTATTTGAAAAAGACTGATTTAATTTAGTAAACTAAGGTTTGTACAGACTTTGTCTGTGCTGTGGTCTTTGGGGTCCGTAGCTGGGGCAGAACATTGTCTTGCCCTCAGGTGCTCTGCAGAATAGCTTAACTCTTCTTTGTGGAAACCCCTGACATATTGGAACACTGCTATCATGTCACCCCTAGTCCTTCATTTAATTAAACTAGACATACCCAATTCCAGCAACCGTTCTTTATATATTTTAGCCTTCAGTTCCCTAATCATCTTTGTTGCTCTTCTCTGCACTCTTTCTAGAGTCTCAACATCTTTTTTACATCGTGGCGACCGAAACAAGGGAGGCTTATGCTTAATATGAAAACTATCACCCATGCCTGAGAGATATTGTTTCAGAAACTGATTAAAAAATATTGGGGAAAAAACTTTTCACAAGGAAACACAATGGAAAGTAAAGTCATTCAAAGTGTCTCCATTTTTTAAAAAAGACTAACCGCCATCTTGACCAGCCTTTTGGACCATCACTACCTGGAAAAGTGACCTTCACTGCAATCCCTCACAAAACTGCAGAAACCTTGATTTAATAAGCCACCCTTCGCAGTAGATGAAGTGAATCAAATTTATATCCAAATATATCCCCCCCCAGTGCTGAACAAATTGATTCCATCCAAAACTGTATGCATGAATTAATCATGGTATTTTTACATAATCCATTTGTACCTATTTATGTCCCTTCTATATATTTATGTCATTTTATTTGTTCATCAGCCTGAAACAAGCCAGAATTGAGGCAATTTACAGAAATTTGCATTATGAGGTCAATGCAAGGATTACTTTGATTGATATAAATGATATTTATAGCAGTATAGTGAAAAGTTAACATTTTTTGAAATATCTTAGAAAAGTAAAATGAGATACAGCTCACAGAAGCAATTTCTCAATATCTATATATTTTAATGATGTAAATTGAAATTATGACAATATCAGCAATGTAAATACAGTAACATTACTAGAAAAAGAGAAAAAAGCCCATAGTAATGGCCTCGCTATTTACACTGAATTCTCAAAAATAGGAGCATTTGTCTTTCAGTGAAAACACAAAAATAATGCAAGTATGATACATTTTAAAGGTCAGTCTATTATTTCTAGCTTTGGTAGAAAATTCTGTTCTGCCCTTTAACTAACAGATATTTTCATGCTATTCTGCTTTTGTCTGATCTGCCAAAGACTTTTTGACAAACTCCCTGCATAAATGTTCCTATTTGCTCACTTGACTTCACAAGGTGGAAATTTGGGTTGACCTTATGCTATATTTTTCAGCAGTATTTGCTGGTTAATATGAGAGTTTCAGTACAAAACGCCTGCAGGAGGACACCATGTCATGCAAGGCCACAGATGTCTCTTGGATTTTGAGAATTTGGAAAGAGTTTTGATCTTTGCAGGTGCTTAGCAATAGCAATAGCACTTGGACTTATATACAGCTTCATAGTGCTTTACAGCCCTCTCTAAGAGGTTTACAGAATCAACAATCTGAGTCCTCATTTTACCGACCTTGGGAGGTCATGATCGAACTCCTGGCAGTGGGCAGAATTAACCTGCAATACTGCATTCTAACCACAGTGCCACCATGGCTTTGATAAAAGATAGGGTGTGCTGGTGAGAGAGAAAGTTGGGAACAAACAGAGCAGGTGGAATATGAAGGCTGCGGATGGATTTCTTGCTTAAGGCAAGTAGGATTATTGAGTCTGTGTAATGATTGTTCTTGTTGGTGCCAGTATTGAACTTCTCAGAGTGCTAGAGCTGAAATGTAACTATATGATAGCTCTTCAAGGGAGACCAAGTCAGGAAACAAAGACCAAGAGAAATAATATAGCTTATTTTATTGATGTAGGCTGATAGGATTTCTCCTTCTCAGTCTCTTATAGGAGACTCACACCCTCCCTCATGGAGATTCAGTGTGAGGCACTTTTGAATTTCTTTTTCATACTTTCTTGTTTTCCCAGGCTAAGTTCAAGTTTTCCACATATTTTCTTCATGGCCATGTACATCTCCACTCTACAGCTCTGAATTCCTCACAGGAATCCAATTATTATTCTTTAAATAGTGAGATTTTTATATATAATTTAATTCACAAATTCGTTCATGCCTGCACAGTTTCAAAGTTCTGGAGTAGGAAGAATTGCCTCTCTTTTTTTTAAAAGTTCAGTTTCATTCTTATCATCATGGAACAGCAACATCTGGAGGTGAAGTGATGAGCATCAAAATCATTGCCAGTCTACCGGTCTACATGGAATATGTAGTACAGCGTTTAAAATGGAGGATTATTTCCCTGAAAACATTGCAACAGTAGTTACAAGATACTGTATGAGGAACATTTTCCAGTAGAAGCCTGCCAATTATTGGTAGCAGTGTTTAGGTAAATCATTTCTAAAGTAGGCAAAAAGGAGGAGAAGGTTTTTAGGAAGTGGAAGCAAACCATTATTAGAGGTCCACTGTTAAAAAAAATAAGCAAAGTTTTACTGATATTGTGCCATATAACAATTATAAATCATCCAGAGTCCTACATTGCTGTTGCTAAGAAACACATTTCTCAGTATCCAAGTTTCCATCTTCCCGTGATGTGTAAATATCGTTGTAGTAACTGTCCTTGCTAACAGTAGAAAAACCCATAGTTTGATATCATCAAAGTGTCCATTCCAGGACAAATTTTGCAGCAGGCAGGAATCTGAGGGAAGCAGTTTCCAGGGCTTTCCTATTTCTTTCCTTCTTGCCCTTTCCTTCTCCACCTCCATCGCTCTTTATTTTCATTTTCGTCTCTTTCTCGGCATGGCTGGCTTAAGGTTTTTTTTTTTACTTCCAAGAACACTTAACGCATTGTAAGCCCCCCTGAGTCTCCGGAGAAGGGCGGCATATAAATCAATTTTTTTAAAAAAACACACACCAAGACCCTGTTCAATGGCAAAAGAAGAGCACCCAATTGTAGTCAGGTCCTGTGTTGTTTTCATTAGGGCTGCTTTTGGCTTGCAAAGGGTTTGGGATGGCATGCGTTTTGCAGAAACAGCTTTGGAGGAAAAGAGATGCATGAAACATGCCATCAAGGGTTGCAGAGTGGTTGGAGGGTCCCATTTTCTGCTTTAAAACTTGGATCCTTACTTGGAAAGGTGGCACTTTATACTGACTGAAGCTAGAAGCTTCAAGTTGTTCCGTCTAGAGGAACATTTTTATTCCAAGTTGCCGTATTTGTGCCTGCTAAAGATTAGTGATTATTACCTTTCATGTGTTCTAATTTTAAGTAATTGCTCCAATTAGCTATTTGATTAAACAGTTAATTAAAATTATAGCACATGGTAATATCCATTCATTTGAACTGTGAAGGAAAATGAAAACATATAGGATTGATTAAATGTTTGGATTTTATTGAGAGCATGCAGGTACACATTTGATAATTAAATAAGCATGTATAATTACTTGTTTATTGAAGCCTACCAAACTGTGGTGCACTTCTCTGCGAAGAAGGAAAAGTCACATGTTGTTACAGAAAAATACCTTTTTAAAAATATTGCCATTGACATTAAGATTTATTATTTAAATGTTTGAAACCCAGATGTGGATATTCTATCCCTCTTCTGCAGAGTCACTCCAGTTTTTTATACAGATTTTAATTTGATAAATTGCCTCAATTTATTTAAGATATTTCCTTAGATTCTGTTTTCAGGCATTGAGCTGGCTTGATCCCATCCGTTTCGGTTTTAATTTGAAATTGGTTTTAATTGGGTTGTTTTAAATTGTGGGCCGAAATTATTTAATTACCTTTTAAACTGTTTTTTAAATTTTGTATGCTCTGTTTTATCTCGGCTGTTCACTGCCCTGAGTCCTGCTGGAGAAGGGCGGTATACAAATCAAATGAATGAATGAATGAATGAATGAATGAATGAATGAATGAATGAATGAATGAATAAATAAATTACAGAACTAACAGGAAGTCACTTTATGGTGCACAGGGGCACATACATACTGACTTCCGCTTTGCTTTCTGCCACAATATGAAACCTTACTACCAGGGGTGGGATTCAGCCTATTCAATCCAGTTTGGACCAGCCAACAATCAGCTGAGAGCAAACCGGTTTGCTCTGACTGTCAGCTGGGCCCACGCACCTGCCCCTGCGTTATACCTACCTTTATTTCATTCGTTTGAAACCCAGCTGATAGGTGTGGTAGAGCGGATTGTCATACCTCAGCTGTTTTAGTGCTTTTAACACTGCTTTTAATGGTGTTTTGTAATAGAATGTGGATGCATGCACAGTGCGCGATCGGCGCACACGCGAGCAAAGCAGGTATGTGCATGTGAAGCGCGCACTCAATGAACTGGTTGTTACACTGGTTGAATCCCATCACTGCTTAGTACACTATTCTTAAAGACAGACTGGCCTTGGGGATGTAAGTTTGCTGGTGACTAAAAGCACCACCAGAGGTGCAATATGCTGTACTTAATTCTTCGATGTATGCTTTGAATCTATGTTAGCATTTTGTCCACTAATTTCAGTTTATTTTCTATCAGTAATACGTAGGAATAGCTTTGGGATGGACATCTGCTGCCGAAAAGGATCAAGAAGCCCATTACAAGAACTCTACAACCCAACCCAGGTGAGTTCCCTCCAGTCATTCTGGAGACACTGTTCTTATACAAAGAATCTTCTATTGTACTATACTTCTACTACTACTGAGCCATGGTGGCGCAGTGGTTAGAGTGCAGTACTGCAGGCTACTTCTGCTGACTGTCGGCTGCCTGCAATTTGGCAGTTCAAATCTCACCAGGCTCAAGGTTGACTCAGCCTTCCATCCTTCTGAGGTGTGTAAAATGAGGACCCAAATTGTTGGGGGCAATATGCTGACTTTGTAAACCGCTTAGAGAGGGCTGTAAAGTGCTGTAAAGCGGCATATAAGTCTAACTGCTATTGCCATATAGTGAAGTGCATTAAGATGCCAAAACCTTTGTTTATCTGAGAGTGTATATGAGCCCTTGTAGTGACAACACTTGCAGACTTACAGTACTTTTGTTTTCTTAATTGCTGATGGTGAAAATGAAGATATATATATAGAGAGAGTAAAAAAGCTCATCATGGTGCTAACTGAAATCTGTTCCAGAGGGGGAAAATGAAACCTCTTGTACGTAAAGGAACAATGTTTGTACATGTCAACTTGTGAAGCTTTCTGACCTGCTCCCAAGTTGCCATAGGCAGGGGGATGGGAATTGCATCTCACAGCTGTGCCAAGGAATTCATACCTCAGTCAAAACAAGACACAGCCTAGCCGGCTGAAGTCAAGGCCATCTCCATGGAGACCCGCAACAGCTGGAGGGAGTGACTTCTACAACCCGCGAAATTGCTTTGTTGGGAATGTGACTGATGACACACTCGGGGGGGGAGGGGGAAATAGGGTCAATGGCAAGGCACTAATTGGGTGAAGCCAGAGCTGGCTTCACCTAGGTAGTGCTGACATGGCGCTTCTAATAAACAACTGGATTTTTCTTGCTAAATGGCTTGAGACTCTTAATTTTATTAGGGTATTGGTCGGAACCCTGACAGTGCACTTTAACGGCTAACATGTTATGTTTCATTTTACGGCTTTTGTGGATCACAATTCACTTCATTAGATGTTTGGAATAGCGTCTTGAGAAAGGCGTATTGTAAACATAGTGTATATTGTATTTCCCACTTTTATTTGTGGGATAGAGAAGGAGGGAATTGTAAAAAGAAAGAGTAGTGAAATTTATTGTAACTGTATAAACAAAAGAGGTAGTTTTGGCAGATATTCTATACCAATCAGCTGGTTAAAACATGTACTGTATTGTAATTAAACAATTTCTGTATGTTCTTGGGACACTGCAATCGTCATAAATATGAACCAGTTGTCCATGGGGACCATGGGGATGCTGCAACAGTCATAAGTGTGAAAAATGGTAATAAGTCACTTTTTTCAGTTCCCTTGTAACTTCGAAGGGTCACTAAATGAACTGTTGTAAATCGAAGACTACCTGTATTTGCCACTCCCACATCCTTTCTGAGGATTCTGATGCCTCTTATCTCACCATTGCTTAGTCTGTGATTCTTCTTCTTCTTCCTCATTCTCACAGCCTGTTACAGTATGGTTTAATATTAGCAATGGATAGTAGGCACTGTAACCATATTTATTTGCATCAAGACTTGCTGATTGTACAGTATATTTATTAACAATGAATGACATTTTGTGAAAATTGGTCAGATATTAAGGGAAGTGTCTCATAATAAATCTTGCTAGATTTAATAGGTCACTGAATGATTGAAATCTTAACTTGGCTATAAATTGGGCTCTCTTTCATTTTTAACAGAAGTGCTAGAAGTTGAGAGATTCATAATTGCCATAATGTGGGAGTGTTGAAACTGTCAAGCGTATTAATTTAATGTCATTAAATGAGTCACAGTTTTACTTGAGATTGTATAAATTAGGGCAAGCCCTATGTATTGCTAACTGGAAGAGGTAAATAAAACTAAAACTATCAACAGAAAGAGAGTAAATCTGCTAAAGAGGAAATAGTAAAATCTATATTTATGTATGATTTATCTACTTACTAAAATCAGATGGTCTCTGGTTTACTGAATTTACAATATAAAATACAATACACGATAAGTTTTTAAATATATATATATATATATATATATATATATATATATATATATATATAATTTATATTTGCTGATAAAGAAATAAAGGGAGACTAGTATAGATCTATTTCAAACTATTTAGTTCTCATCAGCTACCATACCCTTACTAGGATTCGAACTCGGATTTGGTATAAAATGGTTTGTCATGAATGCGACTGCTTGAGGGCTCCTGGATTGGAGCTGAAAGGCGCAGATTGTTGATGATGACATCCGGAGTGGTGGGCAGGCCTCACGCCGGTTTTACTACCGGTTCTTGTGAACCAGTATACTCACTGTAGGGTACTCTCCTACCATTCCTCTTGGGAGGAGGAAGCTTTAAGTAACCAACCCCTAGTTGTTTGGGTAGGGAAGGATAGTCTCTAAGACAACCAGTTTCTAAGCTATATATTACTTATATCTATATAAGCAAAAACTAGCACTCTGAATTGCACTTGGAAAACTACTAGTAACTAGGCAGTTCCTGCAACACCACTATAATATAGCAATATTCTGACTGAGTATTGTGTATGCATATACCCCAATTTTTGGGACCAGCTGATCTTCATGGACAGCTCCATGACTTATAGTAATCCAAACTAGAGATGACAAGGGCAAGAGTGGCCATCTTCATGCATCCTGTTCCAGATAAAGTCACAACTGGCACAGTAATGTCAGCTGTGCAGAGCCCTCCTGCCAGTTTCCAGCTGCTTTTCAAGCAGGAGGTGTGATTTTGGGAAGACTTCCAAATTGTGCTTCATTTCTTTCTGAACTGCAATCCCATTAATAAACAAAGATGCAGCATTCCTGGAATCAGTCAGTCTGTGAATCAATAGCCATTTCATCTTGTTTGGGTTGAGTCTCAGCCTGTTTTTAGCCCCGGATAGCTTCCAGATACCAGACCATGCCTTCTATTGCATTTCTCCATGGACCTGGGCTAGAGATATATAACTGAATATTGCCAGCACATTAATGATACCTCTATCTGAACAGATAAGTAACTTCTCCCAGAACTTTCCTGATGAGAGTAAACCTTTACATGTTTTTAGTGAATAGGTAGTGAGGGAAATATACTCTAACCTCTATGATTTACCATTTCTGGGTGTATTTTTTATTTTATTTATTTTTTATTTTTATTTTTATTTGATTTATATGCCGCCCTTCTCCGGAGACTCAGGGTGGCTTACAATGCGTTAAGCAATAGCCTTCATACTTTTGTATATTTATACAAAGTCAGCTTATTGCCCCCACAAACTGGGTCCTCATTTAACCTACCTTAGAAAGGATGGAAGGCTGAGTCAACCTTGAGCCTGGTAAGATTTGAACCTGCAGAAATTGCAGGCAGCTGTGTTAATAACAGGGTGCATTAAACCACTGTACTACCAAGGCTCCAAGGTATTGAGAAGCCTACATTAGGTACTTGCTATTTTTCAGTTCCCATTGCTGGAAGTTATAAAATAGGATAAGAGACCATTCAATAGACCTGAATTTCATTAGAACCAATGAATGTAACTCTATCCTGCCCTTTTGTGGGTAAGCAGTGAGTCCAGTACGAGAATACTATTCTCTTTCATTCCTTTCTAATTATGTTTTCTCCAAATATTCACCATTAGAATTCCCTCAGTGTCCTCCAACTGGGGTTGGCAAGTAGAGTCAATGTTTAAATAAGGCCAGAATTTCTCATCGACATGATTGAATGAGACTTTTTCACACATAGAGAATTGCCATCCGTACACTGGCATTTCTGTTCATGTTGGATTGAAGGAAGGAGAAGAGGTGGGGAGAGAGAGAGGAAGGGCAAGAAATGGAAAGACTCTAGAGAGCATTCAGCTACCTTTTTGGACAGCCTTTGTATATATAAATAGAGAGAGGGCACATGGCGTAGCAATATTCCAACAGTGCACTGTTGACATTCACGGTTTCTTTCAGAGGAGAGAAAATAGCAAGAGAACACCGGGCGGGAGAGGTGAAGTGAGGTGAGCATCAGTAATAGCCATCTTGAATGTCTCTCTCTCATCGGTTACACAGCTTGGAGTGGGTATTTTAGCATTACACAGAGCAGGGCAGGAAAACTCGAGAAGGCAATTTTCTCATTAAGAAATATGCAGCTTCTGATGAAAGGATACCTTAGGAGCTTTTTTCTAGATTTTCTTACCTGATAAGACCAGGGGTGAAATCCAGCAGGTTCTGACAGGTCCTGGAGAACCAGCAGCGGAAATTTTGAGTAGTTCGGAGAACCGGCAAATACCACCTCTGGCTGGTCCCAGTGGGAATGGGGATTTTTCAGTATCCTTCCCTCAGGAGTGGGAAGGGAATGGGGATTTTGCAGTATTCTTTCCCTGGAATGGAGTGGGAATGGAGATTTTGCAGTATCCTTCCCCTGCCACATCCACCAAGCCACGCCCACCATGCCCACCAAGCCACGCCCACAGAACCGGTAGTAAAAAAATTGGATTTTACCACTGGATAAGACCCCTTTGGGCAGCCCACATGTTACTGCTCTTGCAAGACATTTGGCAGCCAGTAATCCAAACAATTCTTATCTCTGTAGTCATTGGTTGTTGGTGTGCAGTTGTTTCATTACCCGTCTCAGTAATAAAATGTCTACAGGGAAACAACCAAGCTGAGGGAGCACCAAGGACTCTACAGTTTGACTCTGGGCTACATATATTCCCTTCTGTCAGAATTCTTTATCTCAGCTTGTCAGCCTTGCAAGGTAGTCCCATAAATACTAGCTCTAACTTTTATTGTAAGGTTATAGTAACAGAATCCTGCAAGTCTGAAAGTGGGTCTTTCCCCTCTTGCCTTTACAAGTCTAAGAAACTAGGGAGGGTCCCTTCTGAGGTGCTTGCAATGCTCCCATTCCTTCTGTAGACACAGCTACCACTTATCTGACCATTGTCTAATCTAATGGTCCACAAGCTTGGCTGAGGGCGGGGAAGAAAATGACTTTGTAAGTGGCAGGCA